GCTGTAATCACCATCTAATACAATCACTCAATTAACCTTATTACACATTCAAGGGCTAGTTAAAGAAAGAATAAGTGGGATTCCATCTCCACGTGGATTTACGAGACACCACAATCATAAATTATAAAAAATGTAATTAATTGATGTAATATCACTATTAATCAACAAGGGACGAGCACGAGCCCTTATAAAATGACTTGTGAAAACGATTTTTCAAACTTTGTCATTCAATATATATTTCAAGTATTTACATAAAATGTTTAAGAAATTAGCTATATTCATACTCAACATGCGTGTCCATATATGTATGCATATTTCGTACTTGTATGTTCGAAACATTTATCTCAGTGAAAACCAATAATATTCAACCACTTCGATAAGATTTCGATGGTAATATCGTTATCCAACTTTATACTCACGAAAAACAACCTCACGAAGAAATACTGTAAAGAATTAGTATTTTCGGCGGATTATAAGAAGACTAATGGAGCCAAAATCATAAAAATAATTACTTCATACCGAACTGCAAAAACACACTATTTTAATATATAATCTTGTATTTGATATGATCAAACAACAACTACCACTATTTTATATATCTTTTTCCTTTTCCCCCCACAATACTTAGGTAAGTTTATAATAACGACTCCTACTTTTCAATCATATATCGAATGGCCCCTAATTTGTTTTTAGGTTTTGAAATTAATATCCTCCCTAGCGTTGATATTGAAGGTGAGGACTCATCAAGAATTCCTGGTGCAGAAAACTAGATTGTTGAATCATAGTATGATCCATTTGATGATCTATACTATTATTGTAACTAAATGTGCTCATCATTTTCTTCGAAGTGTTCATCGTTTCTTCCGCAAAATCTACTCGTTCTCTCTTGTTTCCGATCAAGCTTATCTCTGAAGTAGGAGAGCTCAATTGAGGTAACTTTTGATCCAAGTAACTGTTTCCATAGATGTCGGGATTAGAGAAATTGCCAAGCATAAAAGAAAACTCAGACTCGGTACGATTGTCTGGATTTTCGTTTAGAAAATTGGTTAGGAACGTCAAATCTGTAGCGTCTAATAAGTTCGAGAATGAAGACTTCTGGCGTTTAAGGGTTTGATCGTTTGCCAAATTTGGCAAAAGGGTTTCGCGGACTACAAATGGTTCATTGTCATTTTCCTCATGTTCTTGATCGCTTGTGGCCGAAGCAACATCTTGTGATGACAATGAAGCGTGTGATTTCCTGTAAATCCGGCAAAGAACCCAGTCATCCAGCTGCAAGGAAAATAAGGTATTAAAAATCATAAGTATTGGGGCAAAACAATAAAACAATCAAAGTACGTGGCGATTAAGCAATTGTGAAAGAAAAAAACAAAATAATGGTTTATTGATTG